AAAGGGAAGCCCATCAGACTCACAGCAGATCTCTCGGCAGAAACACTACAAGCCAGAAGAGAGTGGGGGCCAATATTCAACATTCTTAAAGAAAAGAACTTTCAACCCAGAATTTCATATCCAGCCAAACTGAGCTTCATACGTGAAGGAAAAATAAAATCCTTTGCAAACAAGCAAGTACTCAGAGATTTTGTCACCACCAGGCCTGCTTTACAAGAGCTCCTGAAAGAGGCACTACACATAAAAAGGAACAACCAGTACCAGCCATTCCAAAATCACACTAAATGCTAAAGAGCATCAACATAATGAAGACTCTACAACAACTAACAGGCAAAACAACCACTTAGCATCAAAATGGCAGTATCAAATTCACACATAACAATATTAACCCTAAATGTAAATGGACTAAATGCACCAATCAAAAGACACAGACTGGCAAATTGGATAAAAATCCAAAACCCATCAGTGTGCTGTATCCAGGAAACCCATCTCACATGCAAGGTTACACAAAGGCTCAAAATAAAGGGATGGAGGAAGATTTACCAAGCAAATGGAGAGCAAAAAAAAGCAGGAGTTGCAATTCTCATCTCTGATAAAATAGACTTTAAAGCAACAAAGATCAAAAGAGACAAAGAAGGCCATTACATAATGGTAAAAGGATTGATACAACAAGAACAGCTAACGATCCTAAACATATATGGACCCAATACAGGAGGACCCAGATACATAAACCAAGTTCTTAATGACTTACAAAGAGACTTAGACTCCCACACAATAATAGTGGGAGACTTTAACACTCCACTGTCAATATTAGACAGATCAACCAGACAGAAAATCAACAAAAATATCCAGGGCTTGAACTCAGACCTGGAGCAGGCAAACCTGATAGAAATTTACAGAACTCTCCACCCCAAATCCACAGAATATACATTCTTCTCAGCACCACATCACACCTACTCTAAAATTGACCACATAATTGGAAGTAAAGCACTCCTCAGCAAATGCAAAACAACTGAAATCATAACAGACAGTCTCTCAGACCATAGTGCAATCAAGTTTGAACTCAGAATTCAGAAACCAACCCAGAACCGCACAGCTTCATGGAAACTGAACAACTGGCTCTTGAATGTTGACTGGGTAAACAATGAAATGAAGGCAGAAATAAAGAAGTTCTTTGAAACCAATGAGAACGAAGACACAACATGCCACAATCTCTGGGACACATTTAAAGCAGTCTCTAGAGGAAAGTATATAGCAATAAGTGCCCATATGAGGAGAATGGAGAGATCCAAAATTGACACCCTATCGTCAAAAGTGAAAGAGCTAGAGTAGCAAGATCAAAAAAACTCAAAACCCAGCAGAAGACAAGAAATAACTAAGATCAGAGCTGAACTGAAGGAGATTGAGACACGAAAAACCCTTCAAAAAATCAATAAATCCAAGAGCTGGTTTTTTGAAAAGATCAACAAAATAGACCACTAGCCAGATTGATTAAAAAGAAAAGAGAGAACAACCAAATAGATGCAATAAAAAATCTATTTTTTTAAAAATAGATAAAGGGGAAATCACCACAGATTCCACAGAAATACAAACCATCATCAGAGAATATTACAAACAACTCTATGCACATAAACTAGTAAACCTGGAAGAAATGGATAAATTCCTGGACTCCTGTGTCCTCCCAAGCCTAAACCAGGAGGAAGCTGAAACTATGAATAGACCAATAACAAGGTCAGAAGTCAAGGCAGCAATTAAGAGCCTACCACACAAAAAAAGCCCAGGTCCAGACGGGTTCACAGCCGAATTCTACCAGACACACAAAGAGGAACTGGTACCATTCCTTCTAAAACTCTTCCAAATAATCCAAAAATAGGGAATCCTTCCCAAATCATTTTATGAGACCAACATCATTCTGATACCAAAACCTGGCAGAGACTCAACAAGAAAAGAAAACTTCTGGCCAATATCCATGATGAACACAGATGCAAAAATCTTCAATAAAATATTGGCAAGCCAATTGCAACAGCAAATCAAAAAACTTATTCATCACGATCAAGTAGGATTCATTTCGGGGATGCAAGGCTGGTTCAACATACGCAAATCTATCAACGTAATTCACCACATAAACAGAACCAAAAACAAAAACCACATGATTATCTCAATTGACGCAGAGAAGGCATTTGACAAAATTCAACAGCCCTTTATGCTAAAAACCCTCAATAAACTCGGTATCGATGGAACGTATCTCAAAGTAATAAAAGCTATTTATGACAAACCAACAGCCAATATCATACTGAATGGGCAAAAACTGGAAGCATTCCCTTTGAAATCTGGCACTAGACAAGGATGCCCTCTCTCACCACTCCTATTCAATATAGTACTGGAAGTTCTAGCCACAGCAATCAGGCAAGAAAAAGAAATAAAGTGTATTCAAATTGGAAAGGTGGAAGCCAAATTGTCTCTATTTGCAGACGACATGATAGTATACCTAGAGGACCCCATCGCCTCAGCCCAAAAACTCCTCAAACTGATAAGCAACTTCAGCAAAGTCTCAGGATATAAAATCAATGTGCAAAAATCACAAGCATTCCTCTACACCAATAACAGACTTAAAGAAAGCCAAATCAAGAATGAACTGCCATTCACAATTGCTACAATAAGAATAAAATACCTTGGAATACAACTCACAAGGACCATAAGGGACCTCTTCAAGGAAAACTACAAACCACTGCTCAACGAAATCAGAGAGGACACAAACAGATGGAAAAACATTCCATGTTCATGGTTAGGAAGAATTAATATTGTGAAAATAGCTATACTGCCCAAAGTAATTTACAGAATCAATGCTATCCCCATCAAGCTACCATTGACTTTCTTCACAGAACTGGAAAAAACCACCATGAACTTCATATGGAACCAAAAGAGAGCCCGCATAGCCAAATCAATTCTAAACAAAAGAACACAGCAGGGGAAATCACACTACCGGATTTCAAACTATACTACAAGGCTACAGTAATCAAAACAGCATGGTACTGGTACCAAAACAGAGATATAGACCAATGGAACAAAACAGAGGCACCGGAGGCAACACAACATATCTAAAACTATACAATCTTTGATAAACCTGACAAAAACAAGCAATGGGGAAAGGATTACCTATTTAACAAATGGTGTTGGGAAAACTGTCTAGCCATGTACAGAAAGCAGAAACTGGACCCCTTCCTGACACCTTCCACTAAAATTAACTCCAGATGGACTAAAGACTTAAACCTAAGACCTGGCAGGATAAAAACCCTAGAAGGAAATCTAGGCAAAACTATCCAGGACATAGGAGTAGACAAGGACTTCATGAACAAAACACCAAAAGCATTGGCAACAAAAGCCGAAATAGACAAATGGGACCTAATCAAACTCCACAGCTTCTGCACGGCAAAAGGAACAGTCACTAGAGTGAATCGGCAACCAACAGAATGGGAAAAAATTTTTGCAGTTTACCCATCTGACAAAGGGCTGATATCCAGAATTTACAAAGAACTCAAACAGATTTACAGGAAAAAAACAAACAAGCCCATTCAAAAGTGGGCAAAGGATATGAACAGACACTTTATGAAAGAAGACATATATGAGGCCAACAATCATATGAAAAAATGCTCATCGTCATTGGTCATCAGAGAGATGCAAATCAAAACCACATTGAGATACCACCTCACGCCAGTTAGAATGGCGATCATTAAAAAATCTGGAGACAACAGATGCTGGAGAGGATGTGGAGAAAAAGGAACACTTTTACACTGTTTGTGGGAGTGTAAAGTAGTCCAACCATTGTGGAAGACAGTGTGGCGATTCTTCAAGGCCTTAGAAATAGAAATTCCATTTGACCCAGCAATCCCATTACTGGGTATATACCCAAAGGACTATAAATCATTCTACTAAAAGGACACATGCACACGAATGTTTATTGCAGCACTGTTTACAATAGCAAAGACCTGGAATCAACCCAAATGCCCATCGATGATAGACTGGATTGGGAAAATGTGGCACATATACACCATGGAATATTATGCAGCAATCAGAAATGATGAGTTCGTGTCATTTGCAGGGACATGGATGAATCTGGAGAACATCATTCTCAGCAAACTGACACAAGAACAGAAAATGAAACACCGCATATTCTCACTCATAGGCGGGTGATGAAAAATGAGAACACATGGACACAGAAAGGGGAGTACTAAACAGTGGGGTTTATTGGGGGTAAGAGGGGAGGGCCAGTGGGAGGGGGAGGTGGGGAGGGATAACCTGGGGAGAAACGCCAAAAGTGGGTGAAGGGGTGAAAGCAAACAGAACACACTGCCATGTGTGTACCTATGCAACTGTATTGCATGCTCTGCACATGTACCCCAAAACCTAAAATGCAATAAAAAAATAAGAAAAAAAAAATATATATAAATATTATCTATGTACCCCAATGTAAAAAATAAATAAATAAAAAGCTGAGTGGGTTAATTTTTCTTATCAGTTCAGATAGTTTAAAAATGAATTTGCAATGCACATTTTTCTTAAAAATTACCAAAGAATTGCAATTCTTTTGTAAAGATTTATAAAACATCTTTCTACATACGCACATGTTATACATATTACACATACAGTGTATGTGTAGTCCTTGTTAAGTCCTAGTTAAGCTGCAGGTAGACGTAGAGCAAAAATCTCCTGCAAGCATTTGTTGCAACAGCTTCCGTGGAACTAACTGAAAGTGAGGTTGATTCAATGATGCTCTGAAGGGGAGCCTGCAGTGTTATCCACTTACGCTTGCCTTTTCTTGCTTTTTTGGAATTCTCCTTCAAATGCTTGTGTCTCTGATTCAGTCATAAATGTAGTCTAAGTAGTGAGGTTTCACGTCATGCACAGCTCCTTTGTAGAATCTGTTCTGTGGCTGTTTGCTTTATCCACATCACATTTTCTCACTAAGTTGCTCAGGCTGTCACAGCATCACTAATGGGTCGATGTGCAGTCAGGCCTATGATGCTAACATCATGCGACACATGCAGTCGTACCTGAGTTGTGCTAGTATGATTCTCAACATGAGCTATTGCTAAAATTGTGCAGACAATTCTGTTGTTTGGACATTCCAGTTTTTCAGATATTGGAATAAAATCTATTTTACCAAATCTTATTTTTATTTGTTTACTTAGGAAACCCTGACTTAGGATAAAAAAAAGGCTTCTATAACAAAATTCTACAGCATTTTCCTCAATGTTCAAGGAATGGTATGATTTCCTGGGATGGATGATCACTGATTAGTCAGCATCTCATAAGATCAGTCTTCCAGGCTGAAGACTGTAGCAGACAAACACGTGAAGCTGCAAGTGAGTGAGAAGAATAAAGGCATCTGTGTTCAGTCCAACTCCAGTCCCAACCACTGGGACCAGATCATTGTCTCTGACATGACAAAATCCGTACAGGTGAAGCTGACAAGCAGATGTCGGGCTACCCATGGCATCCTCTGCTCCACCCCGTGACCAGTGCCCCACAAGACTGCAAGATACTGCATTGAATTGTTCTGTCATCAACTTGAAAACCTGACTTCCTTCCCCAAAGAAACAGTCCAGGAAAATCTCACACACACACACACACACACACACACACACACACACACACATGCACACATGCAGCTGGAGTTCATTGCCGCAGAGGACTGAGTGAGCTAAGGGATTTTAGGAGTAGGCAAACTATCCTATTCCCTGAAGGCCTCACAGGGATGGAGAAATAATGTTATAAAAGGCCGAAAATTGAGACTAGAAACTTGATACCTTGGAACTTCTGTGGAATCTAGACTCCCCACAGCAATAGAGTTCCTGGATGTGGACTGAGCCTCGATTCCCTCTTAAGCCTCATCATTACTTGGAATTAGGCCATAGAGTGTGGGGTGTAGCTTCTGGCCCTAATTGTGCAGTGGGGATTAGGATCTTCTTCCCATCAGTTTTGTCTTTCTTTTTTTTGAGACGGAGTCTTGCTCTGTCACCCAGGCTGGAGTGCAGTGGCGCGATCTCGGCTCACTGCAACCACTGCCTCCTGCATTCAGCCTATTCTCCTGCCTCAGTCTCCCTTCCTGAGTAGCTGGGATTACAGATGTGAGCCACCACTCCTGGACTAGTTTTGTCATTTTTAATTTTAGAGGGTCCCTGCCCTACTTTTGCCTGTATATATTTTTATCTCTGCCAGTCATTCCTCGTATTTACAAATTGTAGATAATTATGCAGATGTGCTGGGCTATCATCATTATCAAAGCAGCATCACCACTATCATTACCATCAGCATTGGTGGTGGTTGTTGTTACTTTATGGTGACAAGAAACAGCACATGAAACAGCAGTCACTGCACAAGTACTTAAGGCTTTGGAAACATAAACTTGCAAACACCCTGAGTAAACAGATGACATCTATGAGCAGATGTTTCTACATGTGCTTCCATGTGCACATTCCCTGCTCCCTCGACCTGTTCTCTCGGGGAAACACCGGGACAAAGTATCAGCACAAACACAGCATTTCTATCCTGAGTCCACTTCAAACAGGATCCAGCTTTCCATTGGAATGCAGCTGTTATGACTAGCTGAAGCAAAATCATTCACCCTGGAGATTCAGTGATGAAATAACTTTCTCAAATTTCTCTGAAGTTGATAAAATTGAAACTTCAATTCCTGACTTGGAGGATTGATAGGATTTATGACAAGTCAGTGTGTATATGAGAGAGAGCAATTATTATTCACTTTGGGAAACATGATAAGGGATCGTAGAAATTTAGCAGGGCTATAGTTTGGAAGAAGATAAAGGGAGCTCTGATGTGGACTTAGAATGATTACAAATTGAAAACTATTTAAGTGTTTTAGTTGGTGGCCAGATAAAATGTACATCTTAAGAGAATTATTCTGAAAAAGAGCACATAGAACAATTCCGAGAGAGAGGGTTTGGAGAACACCAATGATAGTGCAATTGCCATACCATAGTCCAGATGAGAGGAGCAGAGTTGAAGTACAGCGGCGGAAACAGCTGTGAGTGACATCAGAACAGTGTGTTAACTAACTGGGCACATGGGTGACAACAGAGGGGCATGCACGTCATAAACGTTTGTGAAGTTTATGTTACAGAAATAAGGAAGCCAGTAGGTTTATGATGGTGAGCTTTGTTTTGTTTATCTTGAAGGTGCTGAAAATAAATCTATCTAAAAATATCCAGCAGGTATTTGCAAATTACGTTTGGAGCACCTGTCAGGCCAGAAGGAAGGTTTAGGGAGAAGTCTGCCTAGAGAAGATAGCTGAAGAACCAAGGACTCGGGGGTTTGTCAAGGAAAAAAGCACAGTCAAAAGGAAGATAGAAATTGGCCTTGCCACCTGTCTCATTTAGAGGGCAGGGGGTAGCGCTATGGCAGCAAAGAGATGAACAAGGAAAGGTCATTAAGTAGAAGCAAGAACTAGTAGAAGACAGTGTCCAACCCCAGGACCGTTGTCAATAATTCCACCTTGGCCCCCTGCCTGGCCGCTGCGGCTGCTCCCGCCAATGGTCCCGGCCGCTCCAGGGCGGCTCCTACCGGTGGGCCCCGGCCGGCCGCGCTCCCAGGTCCCTACCGCCTGTCACTGGCCTGAGGCCGGCGCGGCTGTGGGGCGTGGGGCAAGCGCTGCTCCAGGGTTTTGGAGCCGCGCGCCGCCGGAGGAGCTGCTGTCGGGGCGGGGGTCTGGGCTGCTCGGGAGGCGGCGCGGGCCTCGCGCGGCTCTTGGGGCTTTGGGCTCGGGCCCCCGGCAACTTCAGGTGCGGGGCGTTCGCCAGGCCGGGCGCTCCTCGGCTCCCGCGCGCAGGGTTCCGGGGCGGTCCCGCAGCCACTGCCTGGGCGGGGAGCGAGGCCTGTCCGCAAGGGCCGGCGGCGCCTCCGGGGGACTACAGGAGGCTGCGCCCCGCAGCGGCCGGACTCTCGGAGGCCCTGAAGCTCCTGGGGCTGGCGTACCCTGAGCGCTGGAGGCTGGCAGTTCTTAGCATGTGCGCAGCACAGAGTAGGCACTCAGAGTGCCTTAAGAGAAGGAATAAATGACCATACCACCAGGCACAGAGGGAGGCCTTAAGAAACCCTAAGCATCGGCCGAGCGAGGTGGCTCACGCCTGCAATCCCAGCACTTTGGGAGGCCGAGGCGGGTGGATCATGAGGTCAAGAGATCGAGAACATCCTGGTCAACATGGTGAAACCCCTACTCTACTAAAAATACAAAAAAATTAGCTGGGCATGTTGGCGCGTGCCTGTAATCCCAGCTACTCAGGAGGCTGAGGCAGGAGAATTGCCTGAACTCAGGAGGCAGAGGTTGCGGTGAGCCGAGATTGCGCCATTGAACTCCAGCCTGGGTAACAAGAGCGAAACTCCGTCTCAAAAAAAAAAAAAAAAAAAAAAAAAAAAAAAAAAAACCCTAAGCATCATAGGGTGCACGCACCACTTCTGTATGTGACTCAAAATCATTGATGTCATCTATACCAACCCCACTGTGGACTACAGTGACAACCTGACCTGCCTCTGCCTTGGGCTCAGTGGTGTGTTTCTGTGTGGTGCTGCTGCCAATGCCATGTGTGTCTGCCTCATGCAAACTTCAGGTCAGCGCATTGTGAATAGGCTGAGAACTTCATTATTCTCCTCCATTCTGAGGCAGGAGGTTGCTTTCTTTGACAAGACCCGCACAGGAGAATGGATTAACCGCCTCTCATCAGACACTGCACTCCTCGGGCGCTCAGTGACTGAAAACCTCTCAGATGGGCTCAGGGCTGGGGCCCAGGCTTCTGTAGGCATCAGTATGATGTTTTTTTGTCTCATCTAATCTGGCTACCTTTGTTTTGAGCTTGGTTCCTCCAGTGTCAATCATTGCTGTAATTTATGGACGATATCTACGGAAACTGACCAAAGTCACCCAGGATTCCCTGGCACAAGCCACTCAGCTGAGGAACGTATTGGAAATGTAAGAACTGTTCGAGCTTTTGGGAAAGAAATGACTGAAATAGAGAAATATGCCAGCAAAGTGGACTATGTGATGCAGTTAGCAAGGAAAGAGGCATTCGCTCGGGCTGGCTTCTTTGGAGCGACTGGGCTGTCTGGAAACCTGATCGTGCTTTCTGTCCTGTACAAAGGAGGGCTGCTGATGGGTAGTGCCCGCATGACAGTGGGTGAACTCTCTTCCTTCCTAATGTATGCTTTCTGGGTTGGAGTAAGCATTGGAGGTCTGAGCTCTTTTTACTAGGAGGTGATGAAAGGACTGGGCGCCGGGGAGCGCCTCTGGGAGCTCCTGGAGAGAGAGAGACCAAGTTGCCTTTTAACGAGGGGGTCATCTTAAATGAGAAAAGCTTCCAGGGTGCTTTGGAGTTTGAGAACATGCATTTTACCTATCCGGGTCACCCAGACGTGCCCATGTTTCAGGATTTCAGCCTTTCCATTCCATCAGGATCTGTCACGGCAGTGGTTGGCCCAAGTGGTTCTGGCAAATCAACAGTGCTTTCGCTCCTGCTGAGGTTGTATGACCGTGTGTCCGGAACTATGAGTCTTGATGGCCATGACATCCGTCAGCTAAACCCAGTGTGGCTGAGATCCAAGATGGGACAGTGAGTCAGGAACCCATTTTTTTTTCTTGCTCTATCGCTGAGAACATTGCTTATGGCACTGACAACCCTTCCTCTGTGACTGCTGAGCAAGTCCAGAGAGTGGCTGAAGTGGCCAATGCAGTGGCCTTCATCCAGAACTTCCCCCAAGGGCTCAACACTGTGGTTGGAGAAAAGGGTGTTCTCCTTTCAGGTGGGCAGAAACAGCAGATTGCAATTGCCCGTGCTCTGCTTAAGAATCCCAAAATTATTCTCCTAGATGAAGCAACCAGTGTGCTGGATGCTGAAAATGAGTACCTTGTTCAAGAAGCTCTAGATCGACTGATGGATGGAAGAACAGTGTTAATTATTGCCCATCGTCTCTCCACCATTAAGAATGCTAATACGGTTGCTGTTCTTGACCAAGGAAAAATTACTGAATATGGAAAGCATGAAGAACTGCTTTCAAAACCAAATGGGATATACAGAAAACTAATGAACAAAGAAAGTTTTATATCAGCATAAAGAAGCAATTACTGGTAAACAATATGAAAGACTTTAATACAAAATAGTGATGCAGGGAAAAAAACCCGAGAGACTCTACGAAATATGTAAACTATGTAACAAGTTATTTGAAAAGTATCTATTCTTTCCAAAGTATGTAAAATATTATTTTGAAATGTACCTGTTCTCAAGTTCTTTTTATTCAGAGTTTTAATAATTGCAACTTTTTAAATGTCTATAGCACTGAAGTTATTTTCAGGTTTTGTATTTCCTTTTATCGTGAAATACTTTAATGAATATAGCATGGCACCACATTTTCTTTTCCTTGCTCTTAAAGATTGAAGTTATTGTCAAATGACAACTTTTAAAACGGAATTACAAAGGCTTTTTAAGCCTGATTATTTTAGGCCAGTTTACCAATCACTGTGTAATTCTTCTGGTAGTATTCCACCTGCTTTAAGTCTAATTTCACTAGCTAAAGTAATGGAAAATGAAATTTTAACCCTTTTTTTAATTCTGATAATCTCATGAAGCAAACCTGGTTAACTAAAGTCAGCTGGAAAAAGGGAACATTTATGTTGCCCATCTCCTGTGTCTTCAAAGGTGTGAGAGTTGAGGAATATGTGTTCCTATGGGAACTATGTTTGAGTATGTGCAGTTTTCAACATTTTGGCACATGAAAGCCTGACACGTTTTTAAAAGGGCACAAGCTGCATCTTTTAAACAGAAAAACCTGTTTTTTTAAATTCACATGTTTGTATGAGTACTTTTGGGAAGCAAGGCATTAACTGTTAGGTATTAAGAATGAATGGATTTTGCATTTAAGTTGTTTGAAGGCATGTATTTTGAAAAATATCTGTTACAAATTTATAATTCCATGACAAATTGAATCTTCGTTTTTTATAATACTTTTAGAATTTCATTAATAAGGCTAAAATCTGAGGACTATGACTAACATTTAGCCTTAAGACATTTAAGTTTGGAAGTTCTTACTATTCAACACAATAACAAAAAACCTCCAGAATGTATCACTCCCCTGAAAAGAAGACATTAATAAGCCCTTTTATTTATGGTTACAGTTTTATTTAGTTTCAAAATTCCTAAAGCAATGCTGACAACCATCTAATTTGCTATATTTTGTATCAGTGCTGTTAATTTGCTGTTACCTTTAGAAAAAGTGCTTTTTCTCCACTGATGAGGCTAGACTCCAATAAGTAATTATGTCAGTGTAAATAAAACGGAAGTATTTCCATGAACTAAGCATTTATTAGTTCCCTGATTAGACTGGAAGATGAAACCACTATTTCAGGAAAAACATGGAATATTATATTTCATTCTTCATAATTTATTAATGAATAAAATTGATATGAATGAATGAATGAATGTAGTGTTCTCTGAATTAGTAAACAGTATATCTGTGACAATCATTTTAACAAGTTCTACTTGTGTTCTTTATAAAGTGTGATTTTCAGAAAGCAAACAAAACACAATTACAAGGTTGAATCTGAGAAAAATAATCCTTGTACCATAGAAGTATTTACAAAATTGCATTTCATTGTTATGTTTTATTTTCTGATACATGATGTTCAATTATATCTTTAGGTAATATTTTAATCATAGATTAAAATTTATAGTGAACTTTAAAAAAATAATAATAATTCCACCTTGAATTTCTCTTGGACTTTGGATTGTCAACTCATGTTCTCATCTATTAGATTAATTAATGTTCAAATATTCTTTTATAAAATGTCTATAGATATTTATACATATGTATATATTTCTGTTTCATAAACTTTGTTGGTTTTATGAACAGGAACAAGTAAATTTTAACTTTTCCTTGAGCCATTGTTGTCTTCTGTTTTCTAAAAGATGAAACATGCAAAGACAGTGTCACTTTTAAGTAGCTGTGTTGAGTGTGTGAACGGTCTGTGTTCCTTGTCTAATCTCAGCTCCTTCTCTGTGGGGTACTCCTTTCTTTCCATGCCATTCCCGTGAATCCCAGGTTACAGAAAGGAATCTCTCGCTGGGGCTGGATCTTCTTTGACTGGGAGCAATGAACAACTTCCATCTATAAAAGTCCACTTCTGAAAACCCTTATGTAAAAAAACTTTCAAAGACACTGTGTTTAGTTCATTTTCCATCTTCTCCATTCTTCCTTTTGCATTTCCTATTCCTATCTTCTCCCCCTCAAGAAAGGATTGCAAGAATTTTCAGGAGGCTCTCCTTTAATATCAATACTATTTTCTGTCTGTTGTACTCTTTTTGTTGACTTGATATTTTCTTTGGCTTATATGCTTCAGATTTTGTGATTTATTTTATTTTAACCTTAATAAGTAAATGTAGAAGGGGAACATGGAAGAAGTCTTCCCATATTTTTTTCTGGTCTGTAACTCTCCATTAAAGGTGGGTCCTCTTGATGTCTGTGACCTCTAATGTTTCAGCAGCTTATATGGCATTTCTGCTTACCATGTTATAAAACATGCATTCTCAAGAAGGCTTTATTAGTCTATTCTTGCATAAAGAAATACCTGAGAGTGGGTAATTTATAAGGAAAAGAGGTTTAATTGGCTCATGGCTCTCCGGGTTGTACAGGAAACATGGTGCTGACATCTGCTCAGCTTCTAGGGAGTCCTCAGGAAGCTTACAATCACGGTGGAAGGTGAAGGAGGAGCAGTCACATCACATTATGAAAGTAAGAGCAAGTGAGAGAGTGAGGAAGGTGCCACACACTTTTGTGTGAACTCAGAGCAAGAGCTCACTTATCACCTGGGGACGGCCCGACATATTCATGAGGGATCTGCCCCCATGATCCAAACACCTCTTACCAGGCCCCATTGTCAACACTGGAGAAATATCTTTCAATATGAGATTTGGGCAGAGACAAATATTGAGACTATATCAGGACAGTATCATCTGCAAGGGGGCAAAAATTAGTTCCTCAATGGGAGTGAGAAAATGTTACTCTTTAATGTATAAATATTTACAACTAGAACAGACACTGATATGCAGTCTATCTGTCTTACTATAATTTCACTGGGGGATGATTAGATAAAAAAATGTCTAAAAATGCTTTTAGAGGGAGATAATAAAAAAGAATTTGTACACACTGGTCTAAGAAAGGAATCATGGTTTTTGTTATAAAAAACTCTTGCTTGAGGCAAACATCATAAATAAATCATGAGACATGACAAAACAGAGGGAAATTGATATTTTCATCCAAATATTCCCATGTTTTCTACTCTCTGGTGTGCTTTACACCATGTATCCTCTACCAGTCATATTCTCTTTTCTAGTAATATTTTTCCAAAAAGCTTGATTCCAAGGTTTAGAAATGTGAGTAGACCTGGCTTCAAATATCTTCTATGATTTGTAAAATCACATTATGGGTATTTTTGTTTAATTAATTGTGTATATATTTGAGTGAATATTTACCTTTTTCCAACAAACCATTGTAATATGTGGAAATACAGGGATATAAGAAGTGCCATAGAGAACAGGGAAGAAACAACAAGTACAGAATGCTTGGGAATTTTAAGAACTCAGGGGTGCATCCATCAGAATTAGGAATGTTTCTCTCTTTTAATCACATCTGAATTGCCCCGTCATCAACTGCTCCATCCTTTGATGAAGCCCCTCTGTTAGCCCATTTGTTAGACCATGTTCTTTTCCTTTATTCTATACCTCTTTTGTAACAAACTGACCATTTTTGAAATAAGCCCTGTAAAGCACGTCATCATGATGTTTCTGTGGGGTTCCTAGTGATTATTATTTGTGTATTTACTATGCCATTTGCCGTACAGCATTAAAATTTTCCTTTATTTACGCCTGTGTTTGTTAATGAGTCCTGTGATGCAGATAAGCACAGAACACTGTGGGGGCATGTGGAGGGGAACTCAATTCAGCTTAGAAGGAGGTAGGGATTCCAGTTCCAGAACAAGGCTCAAGGGAGGGGCTCAGTCTCAGGAACCAGAGAAGTGATTTCCAGACCTGGATACAAAAACCGGAAGTACATAGCAGCGAGGGCAACCTAAGTTTGGGATATTTAAATTTCCCTGGCCTACAGCCAAGGACCAATCTCTGAAGTCATTGACCCCAACTTTTAAGAGAAGATGGCAGGAGGCAAGGATGAGGCAGATGAGACTCATAGTGTTTCATATTTGGAACAGAAACCTCTTTATTCTGAGAGTGAAGCAAAGACCACCAAGGCTCAGGAAGTACCAGACGTCCCAACACTGTCTGGAGGCAGCTGGGGTTAACAGCCAAGTGCCTTGGTCCTCATTTCTGCACACTCTTCCTTATACCGAATAATGATTTTCCAGAGTGCAGGTTTTTCTTTTCAGAGTCTGTTTCTTGGTTCTCCATGATATTATATGCTGACACTCTCACCAGCCAAGATCCTGAGATGTCTTAATGAGAATCAACAAGTGAACTCAAAGTATTAAGGAAGATTAGAAGCTCTCTGGAAGGTTCTGGAAAAGTGACCCTTACTTTTGATCTGTATGATTATGCCTAACAATTTATGTGAACTGTGGCCTTCTAAAGATGTGTTATGTGTTACCCAAAAGCTCCTGAGGATGAAAGTTTCCAGCTTGCAGCCTGGCGATCTTCAGGTGCAACATATTACTCTCCTTTCCCCAGTTTTCACCGGCTTTTCTTTTCTTTTCCTGTATTTCTGGTTTCGGAAACTTTGGTCATCAAAACATTAGCGTGAGAAACAATATAATAAGGCATTATTAGCATCCACATTTTGTAGGATGGAGGTTTTAATGGTAAAACTATTTTGTTTTGAAAACTGTACTTTTTTGTGCATGACTAACACTTACTGGTAAAAGCATTGGCAAACGAGCTCTTGTTTCTTTTTATTTTGAATACGTGTATTCCTTTCTCTTTTGGATAAATCTTTGTGCAGAGTAATCTTTAGAAGCGTGTATATTTTGCCCCCACATTTCAGAGTGGGAGAGGTACGAGAGCCACTAGCTGAATGTTCAGCAGCAGTTTTTCTGCTTGTGATGTGGGATGGAAAGAAATAGAAACTACACTTCTCTTCTTTCCAAAAGCCTCATGCAGACTTGCTCCAAGTGAACAGTTTTTCACACAGGCCAGTGTCTGTGCTATGAATTTACCCACTTTCCCACCAGCCTGAGAGATATTTTAGTCTCAGCCTGGTAGCTGAGGCCACCTGTTAAGCACAAGTATGCCACCGTGCCAATAGGGAGGCAGCTCTATTTGATGAGGACCACAGCGCCTTGGCAGATAGGCCCTGTTCCGATTTGCCAAACCTCCTGGAGGTGAATGAAGGTTTGCTGACTGTGGTCAGGAAGGTCCCAATTATGAATGATTCCCTAACCAAGTGTTGAAAACACTGTACTTTGTAATTAAAATGCAAAAACACACACAAACTGCCAAACCCAGCAGAAAAAATCTTCAGGAATTTTCCTTGAAAGTTTGGTTTCTCACTTCCTTCAAGCATCTTCCCTCTAAATCTACATTTATTTCTCTTATTCCTTCATAAACAAAATGATCCTTTTTGATCCTCTTGATTGACATTGTTTCTCAAGAAAAATGAATATAATTTATCCTATTAGTAAAATACATCTTTAGGTACCTGTTCTTCTCACATATCCTAAACCTCATTCTCACTCTATTTTGCTAGTGTCATGAAAATTAACTCTGTAGAGAGGAAAATGGTAGAAAAGACAATTCTGGAGAAAGCAATTTTTCTTTTTAATCTGTTGTATGAGTTTGTTGTCACATTTGCTATAAAGAAATACCTGAGACTGGATAATTTACAAAGAAAAGATCTTTAATTGGCTCAGTTTGCAGGTTGTACAGGAAGCACGGTAGCATCTGCTTCTGGGGAGGCCTCATGGAGGAAGGTAAGGTAGGAGCAGGTGGCTGCATGCCAGAGGCAGGAGCAAGAGAGAGGGGAGGTGCTCCACACTTTTCAACAACCCGATCTCATGAGAATTCATGCACTGTCATGAGAATAGCACCAAGGGGATACTGTTAACCTACTCATGGGAACTCAGCCTCCATGATCCAGTCACCTCTCACTTCCAACACTGGGGACTACTATTCAACACGAGAGTTGGTGTGAGACATAGATCCAAATCATAAGTCTGGTAAGATTTTGCTCAGTGTATTATAAGGCTTTGTTAGTGGGTGCATAAAGTTTAGAATTCCTTTTTGATGAATTGAATCAATTATCATCACGTGGTGACCCTCATAATTCCTAATAATACTTTACCTTTAAATTTGATGTCATCTGCTAGTAACATATCTGTAACAATTTTCTTTGAGTTTGTAGTATTTATCTGGTATTTGTTTTTCCATTTTTACTTTTTCAATCTTTCCATGGTTTTCCTTTTACCTTCCACACAGTTGGAGTAGAGGTGGGGAGGGCTGGAGATTAATGTGGGCCAAGATCAGCAAAAGAGAAAGAGCTGAGACAAATGAGAGAAAGGACAAACTAAAAAAGGCTGAACTTCAAAAAGAAAAGTGGTTCCTTCTTATCTGTGAGGGATATGTTCCAAGACTCCCAATGGATCCCTGAAACCTCAAATAGAATGGAACTTTATAAATACAGTACTCTGTTTTTTCCTATACATACACACCTAGTTTAATTTATAAATTAGGCACAGTAAAAGGT